TTTGACCTATTTGAGCTGTTTACGGACATTTTCAGTTTCCATTTTTTTTAGTTTTTTTTTCTTTACATATCATTAAAATTGTATTTGTTGATTAAAAAAGCTTAGAAATTTAATAGAAGCCTAGTATATTGTTTCAACGGCAGATGAAAAAAATTAAAAAATCCATAGACACGTTTTTTTTTTTATAAGCATTTATAGTTAAAATATTGACAAAATACGTAAAAAGTGTATCGTACCTAACCATAAAGTGTAATGCCTCGTAACACACGCACACACATACAGTTGTACCGACAGACGAAAGTGTTAGATAGTGTAGCCAAAATTACCCTACAGTTGGTTTTTATTATATACCTAATTATTCATAACTCATAAGAAAGGTATTTTATAATTTATATATTATGTTTGTTATTTCACAATTTCTTTTAATGACCGAGAATTCGGTCAATAGTTTTTATAGTTCGTAGTTCTTATGATAATGTTCAAATAGAGCTTCATATAACAATGTAGAGAAGATCTATTCTCTATACCGTGATAGATATTAATTATTACCTATATTATCAATATGTTACTGTTCATTGGTACTATCGTACATATTAATCGGATTCAATTTTCTTTTATGCCATCTATGCTTTTAAGAACTGTAGATCGTTAATCGTTTTCTTATTATTATTTAAACAGATTCAGTACATTTTCTTAAATAAATTCTTAAAAACATATCATTATAATTTATATTTTTTTTGAATTTATATAATATATTATACAAGTGGGTGTATGTGAGTGTGGTATAGGTATAGGAACGTACAGAGGTGGATTGGGTAGTCTCGGCCCTTCGAAAAATATTGGTGGCAAAATGGCCCATATTATATTGGCCACATTTTAATATTGATAAAAAATAATGACTTTATTGCATTTGTTGACAGTATATTATTATATAGCTGTCATAAAAATTGTAATGCGGCATTTCAGCCATTTTATCCTACCAGCCCAAAATGTTAGCAGCCCTACGAGATTTTATCGAATGCTCGACAGGCCTAACCGGCTCTAGGAATATATAGGTGTATTGTGTATTGTGTATTAAATGTTTAATTAAATGTGCTACAACCTGAATTAAAATCCTGGGACCGCCCATGATTACATTATAATATTGTGGTTATAAAATATTATCATGTACACCGAGATAAAGTTTACAATATTTAAACCTGAGAAATTAAAAATTTCGAAATTTATTTATTTAAAATTATTGTGTGAACTTACCGTTAAAAAAGCAATTATATTTTCCAATAGTGGGTGCTAGTTCTAGTAGCTTTTCGTTTTGTGATTGTTGAAATAAATAACCAGTAGAAACGCAAATACTTGAAAATCCCCAACAATAAATATGGTACATAATGGTACGTACTGATTTTGATGTATTTCTGTTTGTTGAATTGTTGTACCTATAATTTAAAAATGTGTTGAAAATATTATATGCAGTTATATGAACTATGTAAATATTTTGATTTCAATTTTGCTTATTGATACTATTTGTTCTGATTTAAATTAAAAATAATATATTTATTTTATAATTTTATTCTTTTAATTTTATTTTTTGTTTTGTTTTGTTGCACAATATCGATTAAATCTCTTCTGTTCCTTATTTAAATCAAATCTTATAATACAATGAAAAAATTTTTTTTTCGAATTTAAAATTTCTTTTTAGATGTTTACGATATTAATTATGATTTCTACCTACGAGCAACAGGTGCTGAATGCGCATTTCGTATATGCTTGGTTGATGATCGGTCCGAAGAAAATAAAATTTGCTACTGATAAATAATTATCGATTGTTTGGCTATTGTTGAATTTCAATTTTGAATTAAATTTACTTTTACAATTTGAATTGATTTTTTAATAAAAATGATCAAAGTTTATTATTTTGAGATTTAACGTATTGATTTTAATTTTAATTTCAATATAAATGAATCATTATATAATAAAGTTTCAATTTTGTTATTTTAACTATTGATTTCATAGAGGATATTTATCGATATCTATAATCGGATAATAAACTACCTATTTAGCAATAGGTATAATATAATAAATATGCTATACGCATAGTTAACTATATAATACCATAATAATATATTAATATACTCCATACTAAGTAGGTAATATGGACCATGGACCTATTCAATTATAATATTAATCATGACTTGTCTCTTTTGTTCGTACATTACTGATGTGAAGGAATTTCTCACACGACTTTATTATAATAATTGCTATTTATATACCTTTTTGAAAAATACGGCCATAGGATATTATTGACAAGTAGAAGAAGGAGTAAAAATACTTAAAATATATAATATATATACATATACAGATCTTCATATTTTTACTGTTGATAGGACCATGATCAGTAATTATATACTGATAAACTTATAGGTATTAACTTTTATTAAATAATTCATGTATACAGGGTGATTCTTTTTTCATGAAACATTATTTCAAAAAGTATTAATGTTTTTGAAAATATTTTTACATAGTTTTTATTAAAAACTATATTTTTTTTTTTATTCTTATATTTTTTAAGTTCTTTACTTTTTTGAATGGCATCATAGAGTATAGTTTTAATTTCATATTCCTAAGCAGAATGTTTTTCTAAGTATTTTGATTCATAAAAGTCGAATTTTTGGGAGGTCAGCTTTTTTCCCAGTAAAATGTGTCCCTTCGAAATGGCAAACTACAAAAACATTTTTTTATTTGAAAACATTAAGTAGAATGATCAATAACAAAATAATATTAAATAATAATAATGTATAAAATATACACAGGCTCAAGAATGTTACTATACAAAACAATATACAATTACAAATATAATTATAAATGTATAAGTGCATGTAAGTAATTTTTACATTTTACTTAAAAATGTGTTATGATTTATGACTCATGTAATATAATTATATTGAATGTCGGTATCAAAATGTTATGTAAATAACTAATAAAGTAAATCATGAGGGCATCGGGCGACTTTGCAATACCTAGCTGGTTTAAGTTTCTACACAGTGGCCTTTCGTGACTAAAGCAGACCCACAGCTCTAAAATCCTGGGTACGCCACTGTGTGGCTTAGAAGATTATAACACCACATAAATATACACATTATTGTTTTGCACATTTTATTACTATATTATGTAAGAATATAATTTACATACCTTAACATCCAGTTAATATCGAAGCATATTACGTTTAACCAGCAACATGTTGTCAGAGTTGCAAAGTAAGCAAAATAACCTAAAATTACACTTTAAATTAATTCAAAATACATAAACAAACAAAATAATAATAAATAGTAAAATATATAATGTGGAAGTCTAGATTTTGAGCGGAGCGATGAATGTATTGATTTTAGAATGATGTGTGTTTTTTTATATATATTTTTTTTTGTGACTGTTGTCACTGTTTAGGGCATTAAAACTGTTTCGATTTCCTTCAAGAGTATCCGGTTCGATGGGAAAGTGAATCTACTTGGTGAATTTGGAAAGTAAAAATTACCAATAGTTTTCAAATTCCAGGATATACAGTATAAAAATTAAGGAAAAAAGGGAATGTTTACGCAAAGTCAGTTTTCGACTAATTCCATTTTGGTTTTTGGTGTAACCCTAAAACAAATTACCGTATATACATCATACATGACATTTTCACTAATTATTTATACTAGAATTTTCTATACACGATAAATATTTTGATTTGTTGTGATACTTGTGAACTGTTTACGGACATTTTCAGTTTTAAATTTTTTTAGTTTTTTTTCTATGAAAGCCAATACATTTTATTTGTTGACTAAAAAACTTATAAATTTAATACAAGGTTTCTAATATATTGTTACAGTAGCATTTAAAAAATATTTAAAATCCTTGGACACATTTTTTTTTTTAAAAACATTTAAAGTTCAAATTTCAACAAAATACAGAAAAATCATGAAAATAAGCAAATTATTTTGAACTAAGAATTCATACATTTTTTTCTTTTTAAATCTAACATTTGAAAATGGAACACTAAATTTCTAAAAGTTTGTCTACCTCTATCAAAAAAAAAAAAACAGATAAGACATACCAAATGGAATGCACAACGGGTTGTTTATGTCGTCTTGTACCAAATCATAGATCAAATCGAGAACGAAGTACACGAGCTGGCATGCCATGTAGAACATGACGTAGTAGCCGTGGGTATTCCGGAGGTAAGGCAGTGTGGAGTACACGATCAGAGTGAGCACCAGGCACACTACAGACAGGGTTTTAACCCAAAAGAGGAAACTGACCGGTGGTTTGGCATTCGTGCACAGGAACGCCCTCAGAACGGCGGGTGTCCCGCCCTCGGTTAAATATTCCAAGCAGAAGTCCTTTGCCGGTAAGATCCATTTGTCGCCTTCGTGGATAAGGAAAAGGTTGCCATCCATGGTCAACATGAACCTGTCATCAATTAAGCTGATAACGCCTGCACACGAGTGTCTGTCGTAGTTCTGTAGCACCGTGTTGTTCGACCGGCCCACCGGCCTTCCTTCCGGGTCTGTTTCATAGGCGGACAACGTGAACGGCATCTCACTCCTAGTACACCACAAATTACTGTTGTGCATAGGATATATTATAATCATACACTATTATACTGCATAATTATACTTCTTGATAACTAACACAATATGCAGTTTATACTGTTCTAAAATAATTTCGGTGTACGGGCGAAGCCGATTAATTTTTATGTAGGTATATAAATTACCTATACACATTTCGTTAAAGAATTTTTTTTTCTTTATAAATTATAATGTATTTTTTTCTTCGACTTAGATCAATTTATAAAGATAAACTCAACCCTGAGCATTAAGAGGATGTCAGCGCACCATTTGTTTTCTTTCTGGCCCACTCGCAACATAGGCAAAACGCATTAACGCAGAATCATTTTTTCGATGTTTTTAAGTAATCTTAGACTAAAATCACCCATTAAAAAAAAAAGAAAATAATATTTTTTGAGGAAAGACATATCGATTTGTCTAATTATTGTCTCAAAACAATTTAAACATAATTTAAATTTACAACATTTTTTGTTTATTAGAAAAAATGATTGAAAAAGGATGTCAGCGCACTATTTGTTTTCTCTCTCTGTACCGCAACATAGAAAAAAAGCATTAACGTTCTGCATCTGCGTAAATGCGTTTTGTCTATGTTGCTCGTGGTACAGAGAGGGAAAACAAATAGTGAGCTGACGCCTGACATCCTCTCAAAGACTTTAACAACAACAATAAATAATTACATTATATGATTATGTTCAGTTTAAGTAAATGTACTTAAAACGAAATTTATGAACACTAAGTTTTTGCATGATTATTACAATTTCGGTAAACAAAATAATATTAAAGTAGGTTTTATTATTTTCTAGCGTCAGTTGTTGGGAGTAAAGTGCAGACAACTATAGCACAAACACGGTGGATACTTTTTCCGCGTATAAAATGTATTGGTAAATATATCTATAATCTCCATAATACTTAGGTATAATAATATTTATGGACATTTTTACAAAATATATTATACCACCCGGAATCTACCCCTTAAATTAGGCCTGTAACTTGCAGACTTGATCCATGTTCTCGGCACCACTGTTTAGTGTATATACATTATACACACACAATCAAAATATTCAACTTTAAACTTATACATAGGACGCAGTGGACTTACAAGCTAATGGAGTCATCGACGAATATAAATCCGACGGGGCCGCACTTGTTGACGCACGTGTAATTACCCCGACCGCAGTACTGGTCGCGTGGCCGGCACGTCTGGGCCACCAGCTCATCGGACGGTGTCAGGTCGAACCAGTAGTCCATTGGCAACAAGATTTGCGACTGGTGCGCCTCCATCAGCCCACGCACCTCCTCGGCGGGCACGTCGACTAGCACATCCGTGGAGAAGCAATACGGCGGCCACTCGTAGATACTCTTCAACCGCACATTGGCTGCCATCCGAAATCCGCTCCGCAGTCGATTCATCAACCTCTGCTCGTACTCGTCAACGCCCGTCCCGGCCGGTCTGCAGAACCGCCCTTCCGGATCGTACATCCGATCCACCGGACAGCTCTTCATGGCCCACACGATATTATTCATGGAGGACGCGACTTTGAGGCCGATCGCGACAACGAGAAATGCCACGGTGGCGGTGAAACACAATCGGATGGTGACCATTGTGTGCGCACACTGTTTGGGTGGCGTCGGTACATGCACTGTCGCGACTGTCGTTTGCCACCTATGTTATCCAGTAATGGAGGAGACCATTCGATGAGCCGCCGCCACCGACAGCCGCGCTCTTATACAATATTATAAAAATGTAGAATAGTGGTTTTCATTTAAATATTTTTAAAATTAATCATATTCCTGTTTATGAATCCTAAAACATATATCAGCCTAAATGATTTTTAACTAAAGTATTAATATGTAATACACTACAACTACCCATTTTATAATAAAAGTCATAACTAATAAGTTATAATATTATCTAGAGGGAAAATAGTAATAAAACAGCAATTATTTATATTTAGTGGGAGGTAATTTCAACGACTGATTGCAACATTAATTTATTATAAAATAGTCAGTATTGTATTAAAATTGAATTCATATTTATTTATAATTTGCAATGACTAATGGTATAACAGCCTACGATTTGCCAATTTATTAATTCATTATTTTATCAATTTAATTTGTTACAAGGTTCCTCATAAGTATTCATAACTTTAACAAAAAAATTCAAATTTGGACGAAATTAGGTATTTAAACGAATAATAATAACGATCTTTGTTATTTTGTTGTCATTATAAAAATGTATTATTATAATATAGACTACCTAAAATATAGTCAGACCGCCTCCCCTCAGAATTGTTTTTCGTTTATACAATGATATTATATCAAAGAATTTAAATTTAATACCAATCATTATAGTGACACACTTGTAACCTACTTTACAGAAGAGCGTTAATCAACTTTTTAGATTCTGAGCGGAGCAAGGAAGCTAGTGGTTTTACAATGGTGTTTTTTTTTTTTTTTTATTTTTTTTTTATCTTGTATACAAAATTTCTTCCAGAAGGAGTGCTTTGAGCTATAGTACCATATCTTTTAGCAAATTGGACCAAGATGGTACTTTAGAGAGGTCATCTTTCGATTTTCTCAATAGTTATTTAATGCCACGGGAAAAAGTACTGAAAAATTACTTAAAACCGCTTAAAATAGGATTTTAATTTCTAACAATTTGTTTATCACCGTAGCAACGAATAAAAAAAATAATAATTAAATAAATAAAATAATTAATGACAATATAAAATATACAGACTGACAAACCGTCTCCGTTCAGAATCGTTTTTCTTATACAATGATATTATATCATTGAATTCAAGTTTAATACAATCCATTAAACAATGACCAACTTGTAACCTACTGTACAGCTGAGCGACATCCACTTACCTGTATTTTTTATTATTTATAGCTTAACATAAATTAGTATTTATTGTCAATAATATAGATTATAATTATATGGATATTATTTATCAAATAGAGATATTCAGAGACTGTCTTCAAAAAATGTCCAGACATTTGTATAGTCACATTATATTTAAATAAAAAATACCATAAATAATATTTAATTTGTGGATATTGTGTTATAATTTGTATTAAAGAATAAAGATTAGTATGTATTTTATTAAAATACAAAATACTAGCTGCAAAACCCTGAGAAAATAAATGTATCCTTCCTTAGTTCTTAAACTCTGTTAAAAGTGAGGTGCACAGATTTTTAACACAATTATTTGGGTTCTTTTGATTAAGCTGGTGTACAATTTTATCTAATCATTATAACGTGTTTTTTAATATATATATTTAAAAATATTACATTTCATTGTGTACATTTAAAAATCACAGTGTACCTATAGGTACCAGGTGATTATTTTATCATAAACTATTCATTTAAAAAAAATCGTACGTGGTTTCTGATTATTATTTTCAATTAAAAAAAAAAGGTGGGCAAGTGGGTGTCGCTCTGCTGTACAGTAGGTTACAAGTGGGTCACTGTATAATGGATGGTATTAAATTTGAATTCAATGATATAATATCATTGTATAAGAAAAACGATTCTGAGCGGAGACGGTATGTCCTTCTAGGTATAAGACATATTATATACATATTTATGGTATTAAACAAAAAATTGACCTATAATAGGTACCTATAATAAATTCCAAATTAATCATATCACAATATCCATTAGATACTTATAACGCGTTATACATCAACAAAAACCGTGATACTATCATAGATATATAATAGTACACTTTAGAAGTTTCAAGTACCCACGAATAATATTATTCAATCACAACAAAATAACTAAAATAGTTATTCTAGGTTTTTTAATATGTAATTTCGTCCAAATTTGAATTTAAAATGTCTGTAAAAAATAAGTGTGTTCTTTTTTTTTAAAGATTTTTTGGTTATAGTATGAACTATTTATGAGAACCTTTGTGTTGAATTTGTAATCCTTAGCTATAAAAACTGAACATTTTATAATTTATTAATTACAATGATTGATAATTTTCGAGATTTTGATAAATTTTGTCAAAATTTGATCTTTAAATGCTTATAAAAAAAAACTGTGCCTATGTATTTTTAATATTTTTCAACTGCTATTGTAACAATATATCAGGAGCCTTGTATTAAATTTTTACACTTTTTGGTCCAACAGATAAAACTTTATTGATATTTATAGAAAAAAAAACTAAAAAAAATTGAAAGCTGTAAATGTCCATAAACAGCTCAAAAAGAGTCAAAATATTTTCAAAATTGTATGGTGTATAGAAAATGCTAATTTAAACATTCAGTGAAATTTTCATGTATCTACAGTTGTTCGTTTTTGAATTGCAACAAAATAATGAAATCGCTACATGAGTAATCGAGTGAAAATCCAATGTTGTAAAAATTTGAATTTCAAACGCTCATAAAAATTTAATTTGACTGTCCGGTAGAGATTTTTTTATTGATAAAGGTAGATAATCTTATAAGGAATCTTGTGTTTCATTTTCAAATCTTAGATTTAAAAAGAAAAATTTTTACGAATTCTTAACTCAAAATAATTTGCTAATTTTCGTGATTTTTCCATATTTTGTCAATTTTTGAACTTTAAATGCTTATAAAAAAAAATTGTGACTAAGGATTTTTAATATTTTTCATCTGCCTTTGAAACAACATATTAGGAGCCTTCTATTAAATTTTCAAGCTTTCGCAACCAACAAATAAAATTTTATTGATATTTTTAGAAAAAAAACTAAAAAAAAATGGAAAATGAAAATGTCCCTAAACAGTTCAAAATAAATCAAAATATTTTGAAAATGTTATCGTGTATAGAAAATGCAAATATAAACAACCAGTGAAAATTTCATGTATCTACGGTCATTTGTTTTAAAGTTACACCAAAAACCAAATTCGATTTTTTGGAAAATCGATTTTGCGTAAAAATTCCCGTTTTTCCTTAATTTTTATGTTGTTTTTCCCGGCGCTTGTGAAAACTACTGGAAAATGTTTACTTTTGACCCCCCAAAGTACCAACTAGATTCACTTTCCTATCAGGAAAGGTACTATTGAAGAAAATCGAATTACTTTTACTGTCCCAAAACGTGATGACAGACACAAAAAAAAATATAAAAATATAAAAATATAAAAAAAAAGGTGGGCAAGTGGATGTCGCTCTGCTGTACAGTAGGTTACAAGTGGGGCACTGTATAATGGATGGTATTAAATTTGAATTCAATGATATAATATCATTGTATAAGAAAAACGATTCTGAGCGGTGACGGTATGTCAGTCTATGTATAAGACATATTATATACATATCTATGGTATATTGGTATTAAACAAAAAATTGACCTATTATAGGTACCTATAATAAATTACAAACTAATCATATCACAATATCCATTAGATACTTATAACGCGTTATACATCAACAAAAACCGTGATACTATCATAGATATATAATAGTACACTTTAGAAGTTTCAAGTACCTACGAATAATATTATTCAATCAAAACAAAATAACTAAAATCGTAATTCTTGGTTTAAATATGAAATTTTGTCTAAATTTGAAATTAAAATGTCTGTAAAAAATAAGTGTGTTTATATATTTTTTAGATTTTTTGGTTACAGTATGAATTATTTAAGAGAATCTTTGTTTTAAATTTTCAACTCTTAGTTATAAAAACTGAACATTTTATAATTTTTTAATTCCAACGATTGATAATTTTCGAGATTTTGATAAATTTTGTCAAAATTCCAACTTTAAATGCTTATAAAAAAAAATCGTGCTTATGTATTTTTAATATTTTTCAACTGCTATTGTAACAATATATCAGGAGCCTTGTATTAAATTTTTACACTTTTTGGCCCAACAGATAAAACTTTATTGATATTTATAGAAAAAAAAACTAAAAAAAATTGAAAGCTGTAAATGTCCATAAACAGCTCAAAAGAGTCAAAATATTTTCAAAATTGTATGGTGTATAGAAAATGCTAATTTAAACATTCAGTGAAATTTTCATGTATCTACAGTTGTTCGTTTTTGAATTGCAACAAAATAAGGAAATCGCTACATGAGTAATCGAGTGAAAATCCAATGTTGTAAAAATTTGAATTTCAAACGCTCATAAAAATTTAATTTGACTGTCCGGTAGAGATTTTTTTATTGATAAAGGTAGATAATCTTATAAGGAATCTTGTGTTTCATTTTCAAATCTTAGATTTAAATAGAAAAATTTTTACGAATTCTTAACTCAAAATAATTTGCTAATTTTCGTGATTTTTCCATATTTTGTCAATTTTTGAACTTTAAATGCTTATAAAAAAAATTGTGACTAAGGATTTTTAATATTTTTCATCTGCCTTTTAAAAAACATATTAGGAACCTTCTATTAAATTTTCAAGCTTTCGCAACCAATAAATAAAATTTTATTGATATTTTTAGAAAAAAAACTAAAAAAAAATGGAAAATGAAAATGTCCCTAAACAGTTCAAAATAAATCAAAATATTTTGAAAATGTTATCGTGTATAGAAAATGCAAATATAAACAACCAGTAAAAATTTCATGTATATACGTTCATTTGTTTTAAAGTTACACCAATAACCAAATCGATTTTTTGGAAAACCAATTTTGCGT